AGGAGGGGGAGGAGGAGGTGAGCCTGGGTGTTTCTGGTTTCAGACAATAGTTACGGGTGAGAGGAGAGAGATGGATGCTTGGTGTGTGTGTGTGTGTGTGTGTGTGTACTACAGCCACAGACAGGTTTCAGCAAACAAAGCTGGGTCTGTACTGCCACAAGTACAGAGGAGAAGATGGAGGGGGAAGGAAAAAAAAAAGAGGTGAAAGAAGGGGGGGGGATGAATGAAGAGAGAGGAAGGGAAGGGGAAAGAAGACGAGGAGGGAGGGAGGGAGGGAGGCTGCATCCCCCTGATCCCCTCAAATATCCCCTTCGATGACAGAGCTCGGCCAAAAGAGAGGTGATGAGAGAGGAGAACAAACGGGGACGACAGGGAGAGTGAAGGCAGAGAGAGAATGCCCCTATTTGTTAATCAATCGGCCGTTTCGGTGGTGATGATGGTGGGGAGGAGGGCAGAGAGGGGGCGGGTACCTCTAACTCTTTCAGCGAATCCCTCAGCTTCTCCGGCCGGCGGTTCCTGGGGGTCCAGGGATAGCCTCGAGCTACGGAGGAAAAAGACGGGAATAATGAGCGGATCATGAGACGAGAACTTTTCAACATAGCTGCGTATTGTAGTGGGTTCTTGTTCTGGTTTTCTCAGGCTGGTGGGAGGTTCACGGTTTGTTTGGTCGGCTTTGGCTCCAAGTTTAAAACTTTAAAAAAAAGTCGTCGACGCGGCCAAGTCCTGGGAACTGACGGATTGTGACAAAAAATAAAGCTGCGGTAAAATAGGTGAAGAGAAGAAGGTAGACGACGGCCAACGGACCCACAATGCAGTGCAAAACCTGAAGAGAATGCTTTACTGACAGTGTCACTAACTCAGTGACGTCGGTTGTCACTGATACTGTTTTCATTTGTGAACCAAGAAGCATCGGTCACTACTCATTGATACCCATGATTCCTTTGGTTCATAAATGTATAAATATGTAACAAACTGAGGACGACATAAATAAAAGCACATTTAAAAAAAATACAGATGAACTCAGATGAATGTTTTGCCCAGCCAGCGGACCGGAAAGTGAGCAGAGCTTTAAAAAAAACAAAATCAACTCAAAGTTGAGTTGAAGAAGAAGAAGAAGCACCGATGTTTCCATCTGTTTATTTCTCAGCCTCTTTTTTTTTATCTTCAACCGAACAAACATTAAGGAGGTAAATAGATGCATGTAAATGAGGGCGGAGAGGTGCGGGG